CAACTGCCCAATATGCATGCATATGAAGTAATAATGAGTTTATCAACTATAACCTGGCTGCATAGGAGAGATTCCTCGTGCTCCAACACTTCAATCTGGCAACGATTTTATTCACTAAAATCTGGCAATCCTGCTGGTTCCACTTCCTTGGGGAGAGAGGCAATCCTAGATACTTCATAGGAAAGAAATCTTCTCCAAATCCAGTTTCATCCAGTAGCATCTGTTTCAGTTCCTTCGGCACTCCCCCAAAATAGAATGAAGACTTCTCCGGATTAGCTCTAAGCCATGATGCTGCTGAGAACTCCTTAAAACACTTCATTATGGTCTTAACAGTGAAGTGGCCAAGCTTACAAAAAACCAGCAAGTCGTCAGCAAAACATGTGTTGGTCATCTTCAGGCTTTTGCACTTCGGATGAAATCTGGAACTCGGGTGTTCTGCTGCTTTCTTTAGCTGTCTCATAAAATATTCCATAGCTATTACGAATAATAAGAGAGACATAGGGTCCCCTTGCCTAAGGCCCTTTTTTCCCGGAAAAACCCCACTGTACTACCATTCATACATAACGAAAAAGATAGTATGCTAATACATTCCAGGATCCGCCTTACAAAAGTTACAGGAAATCCAAAACCATAAAGGCATTCCTCTACAAAACCCCATTCTACGGAATCATATTCTTTTTTAAAATCAATTTTCATCTTACATCGACAACTAACATTTTTTCTCCCATAAAGACAAATTAACTCCTGCGTAATCAAAATGGTATGCAGGATAAACCTATCCTTAACAAAGGCGTTCTGATTATCAGCAACTATCAGTGGGACCATTTCACTAAGTCTATCACTAATGATTTTAGTTATACAATAAACGGCATTACAACACGAGATGGGCTTATACTGACTAGCATTCATAGGATTTGGAACTTCAGGAATCAAAGCTATAAGAGTAGTATTAAGCTGTTTTAAAAGCTGACCTTTATCAAAGAACTCTAAAACAGCATCAGTGAGATCTTGTCCCGTAATGCTCCACGCCTCCTTGAAGAAATCACTCCCATAGCCGTCATGTCCAGGGCTCTTATTCAAATTAATTCTCCATATTCCTTTCTTAATCTCCTCACTGGAAATAAGTCTGATAAGCCACAGCCGTTCCTATGTATTGAGTCTCCTACCCTGTTCAAATACAGTTCCATCAACAGATTTCCTCTCCGATGAATTTCCAAGTAGGCCCTTGAAAATGACAAAATGATCCTCAATCTTGTCCCAGTCCCTTGTCACAGTACCATCCTCCTCTGTGACGCTCCAAATTCTATTTCTCATTGCTTTCTGCTTAATTGTCGCATGAAAAAAAAGCATTATTTGAATCACTATCCTTTATCCAGTCTTCCTTTGCCTTCTACCATAGAAACATCTTACTTTTGCTTTATTAACTAAGCACCAATCTTCATATGCCTCTCTTTCCATCCTCTGCAACTTTTCATCATCTCTTTGTACTACAAAATCTTGCTGTAGTCTGGTTACCCTGGTCCAAGCTCACTGTTCTTTAACTTGGATGTCTGCTAAAGTTCCCTTGTTCAACACTTTCAAAGGAGCCTTTAATCTTTTGAGTTTCTGTGCTAAGCAGTACGTCCTTGTTCCCCTTACAGGTTCTATCCAACTTCTTCGCACAACATCCCGAAAAGTAGAGTCCAGCTTCCACATGTTAAAGTATCGGAATGGTCGAGATTTACACTCCTGTTCCTCCTCGATATGTATCACCATAGGTTTATGGTCTGAAACACCTTCCTCCAAAATGAATGTTGATGAATCATTCTGCTGATCCACCCAGTGCTCATTAATCATAACTCGATCAAGTTTTGCAAGTATTTTCTCAATTCCAATTTGTTTATTACACCATGTAAAAGTATCTCCAACTTGCCGCATATCTTGCAAGCCACAATCTTGAACACACATATAAAAGTACTCTACTTCATTCAGTGTCACTTTTCTTCCACCAATTTTCTCATATTCATTCAGGACATTATTAAAATCCCCAGTGATGATCCAAGGTAGCGAGATAGACTGCTTAACTTCCATCAAGTCATCCCACAGTATCTTCCTATCCTGCCAGTTATTAGAGGCATATATACCTGTAAAATGACATTTGAAATCCACCTCCTCAAAATAGACAATACAGTGAATTCTCTGGTCATTGCTGCTCAGTACTTGTACATTTACTGCATCTTCCCATATCAGAGTTATCCTCCCTTTACCATTATTCCCATAACTGGTGAACCATTTCTTATTACTCCACTACCTTTGCCATATTTCATCTCCTTTTTCCTTTCTTATTTTGGTTTCCACTATACAGGCTAGTACTATCTTCCTTGCAGATAAGAGTCTCTTCAACTCTTTCTGCTTGACAGGGGCATTTAAGCCCCTTATGTTCCATACTAATATGTTCAAATTCAGTATCTTATACTCCCTGTCCTAAAATTTATGTCCAGTTTAAAATTTCACTTTTAGTAAAATCTGAACTAAAAATAAAAATTCAAACTGGACAATAATTATGGGACGGAGGAACTACATGGTATTGCAGAGAATCCCTACTTTCGAGGATCCCTATATGACTTAACCTATTCACTCAGAAACAATGCAATACCTTCATGAAAAAAAAATGACTTCCGCTAAATGCCAGTTTGTTAACTTCACAATATAGCATGATTACCGCAGATGACATGAAGCAGGACAATAGTCTCTTTCATCCATGATAACCCGGCAAATAATATTAAGCTTCTATGTACACCTTGCAGCAGTGCGTGTATCACAAATTTGGGAGAAAAAGTGATCATTTTAGTTCTGATTTTTAGTTTTCACACGCGCATTTAATCACCCAATTTTCTCATTTTTTTGGCATTTAATCCCCATAATTTTATCTCTTTTTTTTTGGTCTTTAAATCCTTGATCTTATCCCTTTTTTTTGACACACGTTTAATTTTAAACCTTTTTTTTGCTTATCATGTTAGCTTTTATATTATTTTATTATATGAGATAATTTTTTTATAACGATAGATTTTATTTTAGTAAAATTGACTATGGTTAATCATTGAGACTTATGAATATGAAGAATCAATGTGTATTTTTTTCAGTAATGAATAACCAATGTTTACACCATGAATACTATTATACAATTATTGAAAGATAATTGATGTAGAATGTATTCGGTTTATTGGTGAATATAATGCGTAAGGTAATGCACAATATATGGTTACTGATGAACATGAATTTCATTGTTGTTTTTTGGCAGATGATGTATCCTCTTGTTCAGATTTACGATGATTATCTTATTTTAAGTAATGATAACAAGTTGTATTGATGAATAACAGATGATGTGCTTATTGGATGATGTTTCAACCCCGAGGAAAAGACTTTTGGTGCTTATAATATCAACATTACGGACATGATGAACAATGATGTTCTTATTGTGACAACGTTATGGACGAATAAATTTAAATTTTGTAATGAATAACTATATTCACAAAAATGAATAACGATGTAAACCTGACAAATAATGATCTCATCCTAAATGAATAACAATATTACAATGAAGAATAGTTGTAGTTTTACAAGATGAATAATTGTACTTTAATGAATAACTAAGCAAAAATAATGAATAACTAGAATACAAGATGAATAAACATTTCACCAGAAGAAAAAACATGATTAAAATAACCCAAAATTGATGATGAATAATGATATCGAGATGATGAATAACCGCCAGAAATAGATAATGATGTAAAAATCCGATTTCCAAAATCAACCACAAATCGATGAACAAGATTAGAACATCGATGAACTAACATGTTTTAAACATGAATAATGATATTAAACTGAAAAAAGCCTAGATCTATTAATTTTTTCCAAAATCAACCACAGATCGATGAACAAAACTAAGAAATTGATGAACTAACATCATTAATCGATGATGAATGATGAATAATATTTCACAGAAGAAGAAAACATGACTAAAACAACCACACATTGATGATGAATAATGACATCGAGATGATGAATAATGCCAGATCTGTTAATATTTTCTGAAATCAACCACAAATCGATGACAAAGACTAGAACATCGATGAACTAACATGTTTTAAAGATGAATAATGACATTAAACTAATGAACAATACCTAGATCTATTAATCTTTTCTTCTTTATACAACAGATCTGAATCCATAAGCCTCTGGCGATTCACCAAATTTGAATTTTGTTCTTTTTCACAACAAATCTGAACCATAAACCTTCAACGATTTATCGAACGAGCTCGAACTGGCAAATATGAATAGCGAAACAAAGATTTTAAGAATTCCAAACAAAATTTAGCGGACAAATTTATATTTTTAAGAGATAGATTTTGAAAACAACAACACAAAAGGGATAAATAACATGATTTTTTACCGTAATACTCAGCAACGTGATGCAAAATCTCAGTTTTGGCTGCACGAATTCGTTCATCTTCAAGAGTACTTTCGACGTGAGAATTTGGTATATCAAAATGATGCAAAATGAAAAATATCTAAGATTATGGTTGCAGATGGAATGGATGAATGGTATCATAAATGACGGATAATTAGGATGAATAATCGGTTATGGAAATTTTGGAAATCAAAAATCCAATAAAAAGGGATAATAAATAGTAGTTTTAGAATTTTTGAGATTGTGGGCGCGTGTGTTTCACACTAGGTACACATTGCTAGGTGTATCTAGGATCCCTATACTATAAATGATGATAACCCCACACAAATGTGTTACTCTCTTTGTCCGCTAAAAATAAAAATCCAAAAGAATAATAATTAATTTCGGGACGGAATTAAGGAGTAACGATTTCTTGTTGATTATACAGCAAAACATCTGACAGCTTCATAGAAAGAAATCACTTAGAGATACATGAAAAAAGAGCATAAGCCAATGTTTTATTAGCAAATCTCTTCATAGTTGATGCCAGACACTCTTGCAACCGGAATTACTATATCAAATCGACCGAAGCCAAACTTTCTGCGAACATGAAAGGACCAGCAATCAGAAACATGGTGACTGATACTTTATGGCCAGCCTTGGTTTCATAGTACCTCCTAACTTTCTGTAGCAGGTCAGCAGGTGGTCAGTTAATCCTCCTAAGGTTCTTCTTTTACAAGCTGTATCTACATACTTGTCTTTCCGATCCTGGAACCACAAAAATTTCATTAGGAATCCTAGTGCGAAGAGGCAGTAAAACTCCATCAATAGTGAACAATTTTGTCCAAGAATTTATCGCCCCAGACTCTCTCATAATGAAAATATCCCCGCTATAAGATGTGGAACCACTTTTAGACATGCAAAGGCATCCATGTAAAAGAGTTAGTCCAAAATAGTAAGTAGGAGATTCATCACTAGTTTCATGCTCTTCCGGCATAGGTATCTCTCTAAATTGGTTTATCTCCTCGTCAAAATAAACTATCACCCTTGACCCACCAATTTCCTTTTCCATGATCCAATACAAATGACCGCCAACCAAAACTCCCGATCTTGATGAAATAGAAGGGTTAGAGTAGGGCCGGGTACCTTATAAGGAACACTAATGTCCGTCCAGTATTCACCCGTTCTTAAGCTAACAACAAACGCAGACCCTGATCCACCAAGAGGTGGATCATTAGTCATTAACAATGCTTTGTAACCATCACTTGCTTTGTCATAACAAAGTCCAGCTCTCCACCGAGACTATTTAAACATTTTAGAACTCGATCAGCCAGATAGTCGAGCTGATTGAATAAACGACAACAACTGGTCAATGGATTCCATAAATACATTCCTTTCTCAGACCAAAAGAGTACCAAACCATTACAAGTACCAAAGAAATCAAACCTGGCATTAAGATGCTAATGATAAGCAAGAATTTCACCAGCAGGATCAGGAAGCTTCACCATTGAAAGATTATCCTCAATGGAATAGAAATTTAATGGCGAAACATCAAGAGATAAACTCGTATAAGGCGCATAGCCCACGATTGCTCGATCTCTTCCAGTGGGAGACAGAGTGAAGTTACGGCTAGATATAATCTCTTTCCACAATTTACTCACACACTTAAACCGCAAGAGTGTCTTCACAGGTAATCTGCGGAGTATCTCAAGAATGACATCGTCTGGAAGCTGAATAGAAACAGGCGAGACCAATTCCTTCCTACCCTTTTTCATTTATCCTGTTGTTGTTGATGTGTCTGAGGAATACTTTTCTGTGAGGAATTCCAAACGGTTTGGGTGCAAAAAAGGGGAAAAAAAAGTTACAGGAACCTCGTAAACCCGGAATTCAATCGGTGAGACTCACAGTAAAATTTACCAACCGGAGGAGTTTCTACAGATTGAAATCGCAGAGCACCATCTGTGGGAAATGCGCGGAATTGATTTTAAGAGTTAGCATTCTGCATTTCTATTAGGCCAAATGCGTTTGAGGAACGAGAGCACTAAGAAATTAGGCCGGGCTTGGGCCTCTCTTTCCTCATTCTTCTCACTCTTAAAATCGGCTTCTGCTAATTGGTCTATTATGAAAGAGAGAGAGAGGAAAAAAAAAAACTCTGAGTTTAGTTTAAGATTACGAAATGCTCAAATCGAGAGAGGATGAAGAAATTTGTTGGCACCGGTAGCATTTCAATCCCGATTTTAGAGATTGTAGGGTTCTCGATTTCGTAAATTTTTCTTTTTGAATTTTTGATGCCTCCGCCATCAACCAGAATATGAATTATGGAAAGCAAGGTTCGTCGGTTGCTTTTTATTTTTTGTGGCATTAATAATAATTAGAAAAAATGGAACTCAATACCTTTTTTGCTTTATTTTTTTGGGATTCTCTAGCTCAAATTAGGTTTAGGTAGTGGAAAAAAGAAATTAGGATGTTGGGGTTGTTTTTGGTGTCGATTTTTCCTCTTCTTTTTTTTTGTCCTAATTCCTTCAAATTAGTCGAGGTGGGAGCAAAAGGAGTTCCTCCAAATTATACTAATTTTGTATAAATTGTTTTTTCTTATATCTATGTTATTTAATTGGGCGAAATGTTCCATTTTCCAATATTGACCCATTATTGTATCTATTTTTCTTGTGTGAGTTTATGATGTTGGTGGTGCTATCATGGCTAAAAGGCGAGTGCATAGTGATGAAATTTGATTAATGGAGATTGGGTTCTTATTTATGTGGTTGTTCTTCAAGAACCAAAATACCATACTTTGGGTGGAAAAACTGTAAAACTGTCATAAAAAGAGAATACTCCCTCCGTCCCATAATTATTGTCCACTTTGCCCAAAAAATTTTGTCCCAAAATTATTGTCCAATTTGACTTTTTATGGATCAAGTTACACATTTGTCCTTAGAAAAAAACATTATCCATAAAATCTTTGTGGTTAAACAATTACTTATGTAGGGGTATATCCGGTTGGTCAAGGTAAAATATAGTTTAGTTTGACTAAAAATAAAATCTTTCATTTTACTAAAACTGGGCAATAATTATGAGACGGAAGGAGTAGTATTTAAGTGTTAAAAAATTATCTGAGTGAAGGGCAACAACGTCTTCACAGGTCCCTTTTTGTTAATGTCATTGGTATAGGCAAGCTTTCTGTGGCCTGAAAGTCATTTTCATAGTTGACCCACCAGTCAAGGGGTGTTCTCGAAGGGGTGTTCTTGATATTTTTTGAAAAGGTAAGGGTTTTTTAGATATTCGATCAAACCTCGAGGGTACATTTGATATTAATCCTTTTATTATTATTACGCTCTCTGTCCCAGAAAAATAATCAATACACTAGAAAAATAGCTCATACTTAACCCAATATGCATGCACTATTTTTGTAGGATTGAGGGTTTTTTCTTTTTTCCTTTTTTTTTTTTTTTGGGCAAGTTAAACAATATGCAAGAATTTAGAGATATATGCATTAGAATGGACACTTTCTTGAGTGGCGCAGCTCGGCTCCTGATATGTTGATTTGGTGATTTGATTTTTTTTAGTGATTCTTGAGGGAGTTAAAATATCAATATTTCTTTTTTGGGGTTAAACAACATTTCAGAGAGTTACATTAGTTACCGGGATTTCATATTTGTACTAGAAAACAAAACTTTTTCTATTCTAATAAAATAGGTTCTTTTTTAAACTTTCTGTGATCTTTATTATAAATTATTTTGATTTTTTGTTAAATTTTAATATTTATGTTTTAATTATTAAAAAAAACAGACACCGCATAAGTCAGAATTGTCCCTAATTGTCATTCGTCGCAGTTATCTTTGGCGTGGATGTGTGATTTTGACGGTCCATCTTCGTAATTATGCTAGGATGTATGATAAAATTATATCAGCTAGGTTAATATTTTACCTAAAAAGATTACAATTTTTTTTTGTTTGAATTTTCGTACACATGAAAAATGCATGTAATATTTAGGTAATTTTAAAAATATTAAATATGAAAATTTTATTTTCATAAGAAATGGTTTAAATAAACAGGGGAATGAATAGAACCTTTGTGGTACGAAATCATTGGGCATCCTAATAAAACGGTCCTGACAAAATGTATTTTCACTCAAATTTTGTATTCCCTCCGTCTCATAATTATTGTATAGTTTAAGTTTTCATTTCTATTTCAAATTGTATTAAAAGTGAAATCTCAAAGTGGACAATAATTTTGGGACAGAGTGAATATCTTTTTTATTTTTCTTCGTCTTAGTTGTGTTGGATAAGCAGTAACTAGCAAACACAATTTAGTAGCTTATTATGAACTTGTTTAATTTGGCAAGAATTGCCGAAAGAGTGAAACTATTTGGTTTGACTTTGACGTTCTATGTTCAATCGTCGACTCTCTGTGAAGCACTTGATCAAAAAGACCATAGTACATAAGTACTGGCTGATTTTGAGAGTTAACAGCATTACACTTTACTAATTTATTGTCTTCATTTCACCCATCGGTTATAGATGCTTCAGTGACTAAGAGATGATCTTGATTATACCTTAATTACATGCATAGTAGAATATACCTTACCGATAAGTTAACATCATTAATCAATACATTGAGATCAAAGATGATGTTTAAGAACACGAAAAAAAAAATAAAAAAAATTAAAGATCTGAATTAAAATAAAACACACTACTTTTTGTTCATGAGGACTAAAACGAAGTAGGTTCTGCCAGTGTGCCAAGTCCCAAAGGCGGATTAACTAATCGATCCCAATTGACCGCAACAAATGATGGTTTTGTAAATTCAATATCATAATTTACTTTCGGGAGATCAACATGATTATTAGCAATAACAATTTATTGGAAGAAAAAATACAATCCACAAAACATGCCGGTCAATTTACGTTCATTATTAGTAATAAATATAAAATAAATGAGTAATAATAAAGAAAGTGAAAAATTATAGTGACTGATGTGTAAATCACTCATTAGTTAATTTTTAAGAGATAGTTATTATTATCACATAAACTACCAATCACGCATTACACATCAATCACTAGGCCAAAGTCACTATAATATTTCACTATATTTATTATTTTTCAAAATGAAAATCAGCAGAATATATACACAATTTCATATGCATGCTTTTGGCAAATGTGTACCCGTGCATTTATTTATTGCATATATATCCAAGAGGAAAATTAATTAAAGTTTTACAAGGGCCAGAAAAGAGAGTAATTGAAGCACTCAATTCAGGCAAATGAATTTCTTCGAACCTAACGCTTGGACAACACGCCTATTTTGCAATTAAAAAAGACGAATTGACTTTGACTTAAAAACCTATTAGTTCAAACTTTCCGCTAGTCAATTCCTCGTGATCAAACTTTCTAAGGCTCAACCAATAAATCCCTCAATATATGCTTCAATAATTTCCTCTGATTGCAGAAAGAAAAAAACCAGATGGAGATACAATCAACTTTAGCTTACTATACCGGAAAAGTTGTACAGCCTTCCTTAAGCTTGTTTGGAATCCTAAAAGAAGCTTACAAAACCAGCTTCAGAAATGGAAGGCTCTTGCTTTTCATCACATTCATCATGTTCTCTTGTTACTCCATCCTGGACTTGGGTAGTTGGTTCATAATATTACCTATTGTTGAAGATCTGGAGGCCCATGTGAAGCTTCTCCCCAAAAATGGCTCATTTGGTGATGCTGATTCTGTCGCATACAACAAATTGATTCTCAATGATGTACGCCATTTTCTCACTTACTCATTGGTGGCTCTGTTTTTCTGGGTTCTTATTACGGTTTTGGCTGTCACCAGTACCGTGTACTCAACATTCGAGGCCTATACTGCAAAAGGGTTGAGCCTGAAGGACATGTTATTAGGCTCTGTTAGTGGAAAGTACAAAAGGGCTTTCAAAACGTCCGTTTGGATTGTCTTAATTAGCTTGGCAAGTGCAGCCCTTTTGTATTTGGTGTTTGGAGTGATTTTGATTATGGCTCAAGGTCCTGTCTTGAGTGGTTTGAATTTGAATTGGGTATTTTTCATTTTAGGTGGTTGTTATGCTGTCTATCTCTGTTCACTCTCGATGTTTAGCCTTGTGGTCTCTGTTCTTGAAGAAGAGAAGTCTGGATTGAAGGCTATTATTGAAGGAAATGAGCTCATGAAGGGCACAAAATTGCAGGAATTTGTGTTGATGGTTGTTGTGATCTTGGCAGCTATAGCAAATTCTAAGGGATTCGGGTACTTGGAAACGGTGACTGGAACTGAAAATGCGACATTGGCTATGGTGATTGGTGTGGCAATCAGTTTTCCAGGGACTTTGGTATTTTGTTTGTTGAAAGTGTTTGTTTTTGTGGTGTTTACTCTGTTTTACCATGAATGCAAAATGAACAAAATTGCAGAGGAGAACCGAGCTCTGTATGCTCCCATAGCTGCTGTTGCTGAATTTTAGATGTTGCCCGGAAGTCGCTGTCTTCTAATGTGTGTTTTTGCGGTGCAAAATAAAGTGTAAACGTATTCCTTTTGGAGTGTTGAAATTGTGTGAAAAGTTCAATATCTTGTACTACCTTCGTCCTAAAAAAATAGTTCACATTGAGTTTTCAAATTTGTACTAAAAGAGGTACAAAACTCAAAACTCAATGTGGACTATATTTGTGGGACGGGAAGAGTAATATCACGTATTAGAATTGTGTTTGTGTGTATGTGTGTGTGAACTGTGAAGCAATCAGAATCGTAATTGAGGATCTCCATCTTGCATCAGTTTAAGGATTTATTGTTTGCCAATTTTCATTGAGAATTTTGGGACGGAGGGAATACAAGTGACAAAAAAATCCAGCATTAGTATGTTCCATGGAATAGAGTGACGAAGTGTCACAAAATACAGAACTTCTAACACTAGTACAGTTCGAATGGGGTGGATGTTACAAAATACAGAACATCTAACACTTGAACTTATATGTTGCAGAAACACTCAATCTATTGTTCCATAAGACAAATCAAATGTTTTCCGGCACATCTAAAGATCACCAACAACAGCTATAGGATCGTAAGAAGCGGCAGTTTTTCTCACTTTGCATTCATGGTAAAACAGTGTGTACACTACAAAAGCAAACAATATCCACATGCAAAATGCCAGGCTCTCTGGAATGCTGATAGCCAGATCAATCACCACGGTCAGTTTTGCATTTTCAGTAGCAGGGGCTGTTGATTGCAGGAAACTAAATACCCCAGGTATAGCTCCACCTGCCAACACATAATCACCATTAACACAAATCCCTGCAATTTCTTGCCTTTCATGAGTTCACTAGCTTCTTTTATCGCACTTAATCCAGAAGATTCATCTTCAATGACCGAAACCACGAAGCTAACCAACATGAGAGAACAGAGATATGCAATGTAGCAACCGGCTGAAACAACGATCACGGAAGCTAGAATGCCGAACACATCAGAATATTTAAGCGGTTCACCTGAAGCACCTATAATTATAATGATTTCGACCACGAAAAGGTAAAGGGCTAAACTTAGAGAGGTGATTATGATGATCCAAATGGAGGTAGTCAAAGCCCTTCTCCACCTTCCTTCACAAACACCTAATAACATTTCTTTTAGGCTCAATACTTTTTCAGCATAATTGGCTTCAAATGAGGAATGCACAGATGCAGAAACCAAAAACAATAGAATGAGGTACCAAAATATCAGAACTGCGAATGAGTAAGCAAAAGAGTGTGACACTTCAGTGAGATTTTTTGCAGTAGCTATCAATATGAACAAATCAACCAATCTTATCATGGCATAATGTGAAAACATGATCAATGTGTTGAACAGCAAATTCCTTCCTATTTCTGATGCCATGTTTGAAGGCTTCTTTTAGGATTCCAAACAAGCCTAAAGCAGGTTGTTTGAATAATCGGTTGTCAAATTTGTGTTACCAAATACAAAATGATAAACTTCCAACATTTAGAAAGTAGACAAAACCTTATATCAATAAATTAAAACATTTATAAGAGACACCGATCGTATCATGTTTCAACCATGGTTTCAGTCCAATGGGAATTCATTTAACCATTGCAAACTACTAAGACAAAATTAAAACATTTATAAGGAAGTCATGTAATCTGTCGCAAAATTAACCTCACAAAAGTAGCCATGTAATCCACAAACACTCATTGTCTATTCCATCACTACTAATACAAAGGAGAAACAACAAATTATTTTGGGCACATCTAAAGATCAGCAACAGAAGTTATAGGATCATAAGGACCCCCAGTTTTTCTCACTTTGCATTCATGGTAAAACAGTGTGTACACCGCAAAAGCAACCAATATCCAAATGCAGAATGCAAGGACCTTGGGAACACTAATGGCAAGATCAATCACCATGGCCACTTTTGCATTTTCAGTAACCGGGACTTTGCCCTGTAGATAATTGAATGCCCCAAATATTGCTCCAACAACCAACATCAAAAGCACCGTCAACACAATTCCCTGCATTCCTTTACCTCTCATCAGCTGAGTGGCCTCAGAAATAGCCTTTAGTCCAGACAATTCGTCCTCAATGACCGAAATCACAAGGCTAAACATCCAAAGGGAACAGAGATAAACTATGCAGCAAGTTCCTACGACGGTAACGAGGAAAGCAAGAGCACTCAAGAGAGATAAATATTGACCCGAATCACTCGAAAATGCAATGATTACGTACAACAAAAAGAAAAAGGCTGCAGTTACCGAGGTGATTATGGCCATCAAAATAGATGTAATCACAGCCCTTATCAACCTTCCTTTAACAGCTCCTAGTAACATCTCTTTCAGGCTCAATATTACTTTTGCAGTATAGGCTTCAAATGTTGAATGCACAGAAGCGGTAACAGAAAACAATATAATGAGACACCCAAGAAGCAGAGCTACGAACCCAAAAGCAGAAGAATTTGGGGCGTCACTGATAACCAAATTAGCCAACCTGATTAGGGCGTAATATGAGAACAAGATGAATGTGTTGAAAAGCAAAAGCCTCCAATTTCCGATGCTAATCTTGAAGGCTTCTACTAGGATTCCAATCAAGCCTAAGGAAGGCTGCCCAACTTTTTGAGCATAGCAGGCTGAAATGGATAGGTTTTCCATTCTTAAAACAACACTCTGGCTCTGAGTTAAAATGTTGAAGCTATTTTATGAAGGATGAATTCATCATTTAGGAAGGAGTTTAAGCCTTAAGGTCAGATTCCTGATAGTGAGTTGGTTCTTGGGGAAGGTGAATACGAGTAAGTCAACTTGTTTTTTTCCCGCAACTTGCAGGCTTGGCGTTCTGTCCAAGAATAGGTTTCGATCTTTCATATGTAGTTTAATTTAATCTTTATTTTTTGGTACTATTCATTTCCCGTATATTTTAAAGCACTGCCACTAAATCATCACTAATTAATGTAAATGCAGTTTAACTAAATGATTGTAGTTGCTACCTCTCAATTTTGTAGTCCTTGTCCCAAAACATTTCAACAAATTGGATTATTAAAGTGGGACGTAGAGATTATTATTTTGTGTTTGGAGCGCGGAAGTATATTGAGAAAACGGAAATTAAAGGTTCCACCAACGTTTATTTATTTACTCACAAAGAATAGGCGAATCGATTTGGAATACTAATAAAGAATTGAACAAAATAGATTATTAATAAGAGACGGATTAATTACTATGTCATCTCGACTCTGATCAGGCCAGCTATTTGTGGTGGTTGTTTACGCCGATCTTCTTCTATGAGCAATATTCCGAATGAATATGCCATAGAAAGAGACTGATATCTAAAACCTTTTACCAAATACTACAAAGATTGTGATCTGCCATTACAGACTTTCCGGTGGTGTTGTTTTATGTTTCAAAATATAAATCAACTTCACACACTAACAATCAATCTATTACATGTGGTAAAGGGGAACCATTTTCAACAGATTAAACAGGAGTATCTTGCACTTTATTTTGCACAAACATCAGTACTAACACTGTAGCACAAGAAGATACTGAAACTTTTTTCGCTGGAGAGACTTAGAATTCAGCAATAGGAGTGTACAAAGCTCGATTCTCCTCCGCCATCTTCTTCATCTTGCATTCATGGTAAAACACTGTATACACAGCAAACGTAAACAATTTCCACACACAATATCCCAGAGTCTTTGGAACGCTGATTGCCAGGCCAATCACAATAGCCAATTGTGCATTTTGAGTCTCAGGTATTTTCCCCTGCAGGTAGGAGAATACATGAGAAATCGCTCCACCTACAAAGATGATAAACACCATCAAAGTATATCCCTGTCGTTTTTTGCCTTTCATTAGTTCACTAGCTTCACTGATGGCTTTCAATCCAGACACATCGTCTTCGATGACCGAAACCACGAGGCTAACCATCCAGAGAACATACATATGCAGAGCATATATACAGCCTAGAATCATGACAATGGAAACCAGAATGTTCAGCGCAGAACCTTCAGCCATGACTCCAGCGATTCCAAACATGAAAAAGAAAAGGGCTGCGCTGGCTGCGCCGATTAAGATCATCCAGATCGACGTTTTCAGACCTCTTTTCCATCTTCCCCTGGTGCCTGATAACATTTCCTTCAGGCTCAGTACTTTTGCAGTATAGGCTTCAAATGTTGAGTGCACAGAAGCGGCTGCGGAAAAGACTACAACGAGACAGAGGAAAGACAGGGCGACGAAAGCGTAGGCGAAAATGTGTCGCATGTCCTTGAGGAAAGCTTGAAACAAGGCAGGATCAGCGTCAAACATGGTCTCATTTTTGGGCAGGTTTTGGGATTTGGCGACGAAATCTTTAGCGATAGGTAGGAAGATGCGCGTGTTAGCGTATCGAATCATGGCCTGAGATGAAAACAGGATGAATAAGATGAAAAGCAAAGGCCTTCCATTCCTGATGCTAACCTTGAAGGCTTCCTTAAGGATTCCAAACAAGCGTAAGGAAGGCTGTGCCCCTATTTTGGCATAGTAAACTGAATTGGATTGTTTCTCCATTGTTTTTCGGTTAATACCATCATCTGTGTGAAATGTTTTAAGTTTTTATAGAAGGGATTTCTTCTTCATTTGTTTGGAAGGATTCAACTTATTAGATTAATTAATCATGAAGAATTGACTTGTGGAAAATGTATAACAAGAAAAAGCCAAGTCGTCCATTAAATTAATGCAAAGCTAGGCGTGTTGTCCAAGATTAGTTTCGAGGAAATTCATGTCCTCAGAATTGACTGCTTTGGTCATCGTTTTTTTCGTTCGTCAAAAGCTGTCCTAATCTGATGTGTTTTTCTACTCATTGCCGTGCTTTCGGGTGGATTAATAAAAAAAAATAATAACAAAAATAATAAAAAAATTTTAAAAAAACACTGGTTTGGACGCATTTTTCAACTGATGCAAATGACCGGCATGTATGTCTCCATTGTGGATATTAATTTTAATGTTTGCTCACTTTGTTTTCTTCGTTGCGAAAACTTGTTATCTAGAATATGAATTTTTGATGGAATGATTCCTCGTCCTTAACATAGAATCACATTTCCAGGAAACTAGAAGAGTAGACATACATGGATTGTTCTCTGCTGGATAGTTTCTTTTTGGCATTTTTATGGTAAAAAATGTGCTGAACGCATATCCATTTCTATTACATACAGTTTGCAAACAGGTGAAATAAAATACACAAGAGACAGTTCTCAAAATGAACATCAGAGGACTGCCCTGCAGCCCTGATCTATATACATCTGCTTAGGTTACCGCCAATCGGCTTTGTTCCCTTTAGTCCTGGCTTTCTTTTCTTCCGTCACACAAAAACAACCAGGATTGACATCCACAGAACAGAGATATAAACAAAATAACACAAAAATAACATGAGCATATTCAATCTTGAATGATATGTAAGAATGTTCCTTTGTCAAATGTTGGATAACCTTCTTATAGCTTACTATTTTTTCCAGTATGCGCTTCATATGTTCAATGAACAGAAGCTGCTACGAAAAACACAGATATGAGGCACAAGAATGGCAAGATAAACAATTTTGGCAAAAGATTGGATTTTCAATAACATATAGTTAGTCTGACTTATTCCATGTCAGAAGGGAGTAACAAGGAAAACTGAAAATGTGATGAAAGATGCTATATATCCTCCCATTTTTTAGTGTTAGGTTTGAAGTTGAGGCCTTTCGTTTAGAATCTCAGGGATGCACTCTTTTTTTCCCAAGAAAGCAAGAGATTTTCGAGTTCCGTCCGAAATGAGTGTAGGAGAAATATTCATTAGAGTTTTTGATTTCGAAGATTAGTTTTCTCTCATTTGTTGACGATGAATTGCCAAGGAACAATATCAATCAGAAATGAAAAGGATTAAGCAGAAGAAAAATCTGTGATTCCTTTATGATAAAAACCAGTACATATGCAAACATTTACAACAGAAATCTTGTTTTTAAGAAGAAAATTAAACTAGTACAACAAATAGCCACAGAAAGAAAATTGATTTTCAATTTAACGCCATTTCTATGCCATATCATCCTCAACAACGAACGGAACGGTGGATATTTTACTATAGAACTCAGCTGTTGCTGCTCCTCCATGAAGTTCAATCTCTTCACCATGGTGCTTCTTGCAGTGGAAATATAAAATGGTATATCCAACAAATTCAAACAACTTTATCATAAAAGAGAGATTCACAGAGAAGAGCCCGAAAAGTACATCATTTTTTAGCCAGTTATGACCCCTGATAATCCGAAATCCTTGAAACATGATCACAGAAAGCACCACAAAAGCGGCACTCAGGATAAACCCCTGAGCCCTCTTTCCCTTAATAAGACCTGAAGCTTTCCCCAATGCTTCAAGTCCATAGGTATTTTCTTCGATGACTGAAACCACTATGCTCAGAATCCAAACAACTGATAAGTACACATACAGTAAGTATGCAAAAACCGCGTACCAGATTATGGAAGAGGGGACATATCCTAGCCCAAAATCAGAAAACATAAAAAGGGGTGCAGCCATAGTCAAGACAAAGAAAAAGTAGCCAGAACCAAGAAGCGTCGTGTAAAATCCAGTGATCAGCGATCTTTTACACGCCCGAATCACCATTAAAGCAAACTCCTTGCAAGATAAATTTCCACTCCCACCACTATTTGTGATGGCAGATACCGAGACTGATGCAGTTACGGATAAGAGGGAGATGATCCAGTAAGCCAGAAGCACAATGACCTCAACAACAAACATTAGGCCAACATCTTCTTTAAGACGAGCGAGTGCATTAGTGAATTCTTCGCTCCCAGGACTGCTTAAAGGAATGAAGGACTCTCTCATGAGCATATCACGGAACAGTGACTTGTAAGAAAAACTAAACAGCAAGAAGAAAAGGGAATAGAGCACCACAGAAGGCACAAGTATTAAGGCTATGAGCTTCCCATTTTTCGGAAGAATTTTGACAGACTCTTGTAAAATCACTGCAGTAGCTCGAAAAGGCTCTAAAAGCTCCATTCCTAGATGCATACGCAATCTGATATTCTGAGAGTTCAAAAAATTTTAAAGTGTTCTTGAAAGCTACTGAGTTGCTTTTCTCTTACAAAAGGCTATAGATTTATACAGTAGGGATATTTTCCCACTTCAGAGAAAAGATGCCATTTCGGAATAAGTCTAACAGGATCACCATTCATTCATTGGCTGAGACTTTGAGGCACAACTCATTAAGCTCAAAGGTTTCAAGTTAAGGACTATTCAAATTAAAGAACTAGTCACCAGGATCAGAAAGTGCTGCGAAAAAATGATTGATTCATTGGTCACAATTCACAAAGTCCTTATATTTGACATGGTCCACTACACTATGGAAAAAACAAAGATCAACAAGTTGTCTACCCTTATATTCATGTTATACGTACGTTGTAATGCTCAAATCTTACTTTCCTTTAATATGTATAAAAACATTGCTTGTAGAAAGCTACTAATTTTCTTTTTATTTTTTTCTGAAGTAGAACTGTCCTTACATTTTGGAACGGCCGTACAGTTGCAATAAGGGTATTATTTATTCAACAAAATGGTAATATAAGCCATGAACTCAGTCTCGTAATTTACTTTGACGTATCACCAATTTTCCATTGTCGAAATCTTTATTTTTTTTTCCTAATCTTTTATATATAACTCGTCTGATTAACCGACCTCACATAGTTCATGTTACTGTTGATTAAACGATTATCAAATCGAATCTAATTTGCATCCAAGATAACATTAAGAGAGACAATTAGATATCTTAAAAGAAATATATTTAAGATATAACAGCTGTTTGATGTTCGATAGTTCACTTAGATATTTTCATTTTTCAGGAGCTACCAATTCAAAGATCCAAAGCTGGATTTAAAATTATATATTATTCCTCGTAAAAGTTTCTACAACTAAATTTGACGAGAAGCCAGTTCCATCAAGAATGGATGCAGTACTACCCACGGTTGAGACAGTTGTGTTACACAGTGAATCAATTTAAGTAAAACTTGGTTTGCTTTGAAGTTGAAACAGCTTCCCCTTTCTTTCATCAAGTCCCTTTACACCACCTGGGTTAGAGCTTAGAACCTTTAGTTTTTTTTTTTTGGAAGGGGAGAACCTTAGTTGATCTTGCAATTTTGCCCTATATAACATATCCTATTGATGTATAGTACTCGCCTCACATTAATAATTCATTTTGTGAAACTAAAATTAAAGGTAACAATGGACTTGGTATAGCTAAACTCGGCTATGAGGCTATGGACTCATTCAAACCTAGCTGGATTGATCAATGTTCCGCCATACTGATGTTGTGATGGGATGAGCAGTGTGAAAAATGTAAGAGGATTGCACTGAAGTCGGAGCATCTGCTAAGATTCAGGAAAGTTGAAAATCACAAAAAGCAGGGAAGATAGAAAAAGAGGTGAGAATCATGTTAGGGACATGGCCATCGCAGTGCTCATGACAGTTGCAGACTTCTGCAGTGTCACCAAATATAGCAGCACAACAGATCAATAACTCCACTGCTAGCTCTCTTCAAAGCTAAAAATGATTTCACTGTTTTAAACCTCACCTACTTGCTTCATCAGACAGTTGTTTGAGCAGAAGATAAAGATACATTGCTTTAGCTACATCGCGGGAAGCACCCCCGTGCAATGCTTATACGAGTCCTAAGGTTGGATGGAATTGTGCATGTATACAGAGAAAGAAATACTACAGCCAGCGCACAAGTAAAGCATAACTTTCCCAACAAAAAAGGAGTTCATTCTCTTTCAAGCTCCCATCCAAGGAGCAGTGAAAGCTTTTTGACAAGATAAGTTGGGTAATAACAGGTCCAGAAATGTTCCTGACAATCTTTGTAATCTCTAAGCCTTATGCACCTCATACTGCAAGAAAGAAAGGAGACACTGATGTTCCAGGGTTGAGACAACAAATTATCAAGCAGTTGGCTCATACAAGACAAATAACATGGCTTCAATTCAAAGTGAGAACTCTGGCCATAAACACCAAGCAAAGCATCAGCTTCGCAGACTTTTAACTTAGCAACATGCAAAACGGGAATGAAATCTATCCAAGTAAAATCGCTTTTCATTTTGCCATTCAACATCATCCATAACAGTGCTTATCATAACAGTGCCAAGAGATTACACAAGTTGACATTAGAAAGCGATGTTATAGGAATTCCCACTAGCTCATAACACCTATCTTCGTTTAGTATAAAGAATTCTCAGTAATTACCGAACAACAAACATCTCAAGTCTCATCAAATATTGCAGAAAACTCAAATCAATCAAGGCAAGAACTTGCACGGGGAGAAAAGAAAATGCACCACAAAAACAGAAAATTAACACAAACAGGGGAGCAGAAATAAATGCTACCAATTTAAGATCAATTATATATTTTTCATAAAAAGTATGTACAACTAAATTTGACAAACGCCAAATTGGGAAAAAAGAAAAAAAAAATCTAATCTTTACAAAACTAACCACTCATTAAAGAAAGCCCCCCTTGCCTACTACTCAATCCATCATTTGGTAGCACTGTCATCTTCAAGCTCCAACCGGCCACCAAAACTTCCATTCATCATCGCTATTATGCAATGACCCGGATGAGCCACAATCCAGCTGAACCCGGGTTCGACAAACGGGGCAATTGGGCTTCTTGGTGAGCCAGAAATCCACACAATGGACATGAAACAAGTGGCCACAATCGGGCAATTTCCTGCAAGGATCTCCTTCCTTGAAACCCTCCAAACAAATCGCACAATCCCTCGCGGTTTGATCCGCGGCGGAATAGCCGACAAAAGGTAACAAGTCGTGAACGGGACCCAGAGCGATTAAACTCTGGGGCGACGCCTGGCCACGGCCGCGGCCGCGACGGCGACGGTGGTGTTGAACGGCGGTGTTAGTGAGGAAAAAGTGAATGACCACAAGGGCAGCGAAGCCAATGAAGATGAGGAACAGGGCAAGAACGAAGGTCATAATGATCCATTTAAGCAGGACAAAAAGAATCTTCCTTGGACCTGAATACGTAAAGGGCTTCCCAATTGGAACCGATTGGTGGTTTTCTCGGGTGTCTGCATGACTGCCGCCGCGTTGCCGCCGGTGGTGGTGGTGGTGGTGGTGGTGGGGAGGAGGATGAGTATCTGAGATCTCTTCAATTTCTTCGATTATTGGCATGTGGGTCGGATTGGAATTGGGAATTTTTTTTTTCTTGCAATGAATCTTTCGTATTACAAAAGAAATTAAAAAAAAAATTGAAGGAAATTTATATAAGAGAAGAAGAAAATCAGTAGGAAAAGTCCTTATCTTGATTGCAGTCCCGACGGGGAAGGGGAGAAGATGATGGGTTGTTTTCTTCGTGGATGGGGAGGAGAGATTTGGGTCGCGGGGACGACTATTATATTGAAGGGTTCGGCTTTATTTGTCGGTTGTTCTGTTAATTTAATTGTAAGACTGTGTACAACAACTGATGCATAAGGTACAACTCTTTTTACATATTTGTCCAAACTCCAAAGGCATATTGTACTTGTAACATTTTCATTAGATTCCCTAAATCCATTTCCTTATAATCATTTTTTGGATGTGAGAAAAAATAATAAAGAAAATGATAAGGAAGTAGTAATAAAAAGAAAAATCACTATCAATTCATCAAATTATAAAATGTTCCCACTATTTAATCAAATTATTGTTTCAAATTTCGTGTAAAATACTTTTGTAGTCAAAAGATGTCCGGTAAGATGGAACGAGTATATATACTTCACTATATGTGCAAGTTTTGTGTATACTACATTTTTATATGCAATCAAAAGAAGTTCATCGAGATGAAATAAAAATATATTTTTAAGTATAATATGTGTTCGTTCAGAATAACTTCATGTTTGTAGTGAATTTTGAACTATATCAATCATATCCAAAAGCCCTTTAGTTAAATTCACGCTAATTGTTAACTCTTTACACCAAAATAGTCACGAGTCACATACCTTTACCCAAAAAGTACAAATAAAGTGAAATTTGGGTGTTGCAATTTGGCGAAGTGCCGAGTAGATAGATATGGTTGTAGATATTTTTTCCCTCTTGGTGGAATTGAAGTCTTGAACCCCACAAAGAGTCAGGAATTAAAAGTTCATGTCGTTGTTTTCAGCCTTATCTCATCGGTTATGCTCCATCGTCAGCTCTCTGCCGAATTATTTTTGCTAGGAAACGTGTGCCACCAAAACAAAAAAAAACAAAGGAAACTATACAATATTCTGGTTATGCTGCTTGTTTTGTTTGCGTTGTTATATTACTCGCCCTTAAACCCGGCTCTCTACGCAGCCCATGGTTTGTTTTGCCAATGTCACATCGGTGGATACCCCATTTTGATTTTTGAGTCTCTTTTTCTTCTTTTCCCATTTCCTCTGTTATAATAAGTTCAAACATGATTCATGATTGTTTCTCCTAAAATGATTGTTCTAAACTTGCAACAAACATTTTAATCTTCTGAGTTATGTCTCCCACAAAAATAATTTAGTACTTTCTCCGTTCTAAAATAAGTGTCTTTTTAGGAGAATGGAGAAATTTCAAAATAAGTGTCATTCTCACATTTCAATGCATTTTTTATCTAAAATTTGAAAAATTAACCTCAAAAAAATTAATACATTGGTGGATATTTTTTTTAATGGGTTTAGTTGAGAATATTCAAGTAATTATATTAATCTATTTAATAGTTTCTTAAACTATTGTAAAGTGTAGGATAATACTTATTTTGAAATGAAGACAATACAATTATTAATAATGATAATTATATTTAAAAGTGAATTCAACATAACAATCATTTTAAGATACCATGACTAATAACAAAATACGGATAAATCCATTTCTGTTTCCCTTTTCCTAGCGCGCATCCATAAAATCTCAATTTATGTTGAATAGGTTGTGCGTGTTTGTATTAAAACTAGACTAACTATTCAATGACATTTTCTCAAAAAAAGAATCAAAAGCGCAACTATTGAAATTTTAAAAATTCGTGATAATTATTGGTGCTTAACTACTGGTAAAGAATTTTTCCAACAAAATTTTTTGAAACCGAGTAATGAAGAATTTGGTTTTCCCCATAGCATTTCTGGAAAAAAAAAAATAGATATGCCCCAATTAAAAAAAAAAAAAAAACAGTTCCTTGTCATCCAATCATTGTCAAAAAATGGACAAGTTGGAGGGGGTGAAGATTGAAAAGTGAAAAAGCATTCTGTTTTTCACTTTTGACGGCTTGCGTTTTAATTTTCAGAGTTCTTGTATTATATATACTACATGTTATATCATCTGTTTCAAAATTATTGTCCAATTTAAAATGTCACTTATGTTATAATTTTGGAACGAAAAGAGTACTTTTCTGTACGCTCACCAAATATCTTTTGCTTCTTTAAAAAAAAAAAAAACAATAATCTTGCTCATGACCGATCGCGATTGGTCAATTTCTGAAACATTTTTTTTGTAGATATCATGAAAATAGGACAGGTGGTCATTGTCACAAGGTAAAAAAAAAAAAAGGTTTATTTATCATTTTCGATTAATCTGAGGATAACTAAATGGACCCAATTAAACTTCTATAAGAAAAAAAGCCTGAAATAGAACGCAATTTGTTCTTTATTTGGAAAACACACAATCACCGAATAACGGCACAATAACAACACGCATAAAGCAACAGAACTTAAACATCATCTTCGCAAAACAATCAACATCATATATGATCAAAGTTGCATCACTCAGTAGAGCTCAGGATGAGCAATGAGGTATGCTTCAACAGCCATGAAGACAATAACTGCCTTTTCTTTTCCGGCTTCAATGTCTTCTTCACTGATTTGTGCATTTTCCTTGGGGAAATATGTGCTCTTGTTCTTGCAAACGGATCCTCCATTGGCAGATGGCACTATCTGAACCTCATAAGATATTTTTTCAACTGCATCTTGCAAGACGTCTCCTTCAACGATACTGTATTTGTAGACATAATTCTCTTTGTCCAGCTCCTCAACTTGGTACTTCACGCTCTTAAACTGGCTACCTATGCATATTCAAATGGTAATCAAATCATATATTTATTGTATGGAGATTGACTTACAATTCCTCATATTAAAAACACATTCTAAACATAAGAACCCGACGTACCTTCACCAAAAGTGGTGACTTTGATGGTTCCGACTTCACCATCTCCTTGAAGGATTTCGACACTCTTCACGGCTTCAGGTAAGACTTTGGGAATAAGTTCGTCGCCATGAACAATAAAAGCATTGAACAATCTTGCTGGTGAGATTGAGGAAGTAACTTCGTGATCATAAGTGATGGCAGCCATGATTTGTTTGAGTAAATTAGTGTGTACTTAAGGAGGAGATAATGTTGATGCTAGTTAGAGAGCAAAAAGATTAATATGCTTGAATATTGTTGTTGTAGTAGATCTTTGTAATTCAAAGGTTTGATGCCTTTGAAGGACTCCTGGGCAAGTAATTTATACTTGGTGCTAGTCATCGGATTAAGACCTCCATGATCTAAATTAATAACAAATTATGCATGTGTCAATATAATTCTCAATGCAGGAGAACTAAGAGCCCCTAATTTTTTCTTTTTGATTTTTTTGAAATATTAAACTACTAATTTAGCATATAATTTTTTCTGCACCGGCCTCATTTCATCATCCCCGAAGAAAAATTCCAATAGGAAACGCTATAGACTGTGAATTGTTAAGTCGACACGATGGTAGACTAAAACAATTCATATTATTTCGAAGCCCAAATTGTTTGACCCATTAATAGGAATAGAATCATTTGATCAGTTCAAGTATCAATTAAGTTGATAATCCTAGTCATGTCCTACAAATTAAATAAGGTACTACCTTTTTCAAAAAAAATTTTAAAAAAAGGGTTGTACCAAAAAATAAAAAATAAAAAAATAAGGTACTACCAAACGAGGGGGAAAAAAGAAAGAAAAAAGAACACAATGGGTAATAACAGATCAAATGATTTTTATACTCTTGGCTCCGTGTTATCTATATTGCCCCCGCCAGCCACCCTAACTGAACTATCATTGCACTAACGGGAAATTAAGAAATGCCAATAGAACTGCAAATAAGAACGAACTAGTAAGTTGCTAGTGATAGGTGGTGGAATATAAAAGTGATTTGTGAAAAGACAAAAATACTATTCCACACTAAATTTATAACTACTAACATAATAAAAGATACTCCCTCTGTCTCAAAATTATTGTCCACTTTGATATTTCATTTTTAGTTTAATTTGTACTAAAAATGAAAATTCAAATTGAACAATAATTATAAGATGGAGGGAGTAGTTAAACAATCACATGCGTGCCACATCAGTCAATATCATAGTTATTATTCATTTTCACTGTTTCATTTTTCTATCAGTTTTTGTGGCGGATTAGCCAAGTTCTATTCATTTAGAGCATAGATATATTGATGGTAACTATCACTGCCAATATGCGAGTTACTTCAAGATTTAGAGAAAAAGCCGATAATGATAACCTAATGCATGCACATTACATATATACCCTTCTCCTTTTAAATATAAAACATTTTTGTGGAACTAAAACTATTTCAAGAAATGAGCTACTGCCGTTATTACAGAAAAAATAGTCCATTTATTAAAGTTAAAATAGTACAATAAATCTATGTTGTTTTAAAATTAGATAGGGAAGCTAATAGGTAGCTTAACTGAGCCATTGGGTTGATCGGTTTTATTGGCCGATTTTCGCAACCATTAGAAACCAGCAACAAAAAAATTATATCCCGTTCTAAATTGTACTGTTTGGATTTTTCATTTTAATATAAAAATATCTACTAAAAGTACTGGTTAATTAATAACATCTGTGATCTGTATAATGTTAAATGAAATCGTGACAACACTTTCAAGACAACAACCAGATTTTGAACAACCCCGATTCACCTAGATAACCAACACAATGTGATTTGATTAAAATTATTAGTAAGTTTCTTCACATTTAATTTATAAAATCTAGATATAAAACATGAAATGACGATTCATATTCACTTGAAGCAACACTGAAACTTTCATTCCAGCCCAGTTGAACTGATTTTATCGATCGCTCTGAAATTTAGGGTTGAGTTTTATTACTTGCTCAATATCATCTAGAATCAACTTATTTTTGTTCATATATACTTCTTGGATCTCATTTTAATCGTTTGATTTATTTAACTGGATAACTTGGAGTATTTCTAGTGATTAGACACTTGTTCTAATTCAAATTTATTATTCACGAAAATTGGATCACGTAAAAAAAATACGTAAAAACCCACTATCCATTCCTATATAAGGCGTGAAGCCTCCCTTCCTACAGGAACTATTTGGTTCGTTGCCATAATCAGTTACCCTTTTTCTTTTCAAAAAAAACCAAAGACTATTTAAATACACGCCTAATGTCATGAAGCACAACAAACTAAACATTAGGCCGCTATTCAATTCTCTTCAATTTGCCACATAAATTTCATGGAATGGATGAGAAATAGCCAAGTGCCAATCATCAATCCCATCATAATTACATTTATACTTTTTCTGATTAAAGTGAGTAGACAAGATGTTGTAGAAGTTCATAATT